TTACCAACTTCTGCAGTCTGAAATTGACTGAACATGCAATCAAGATGCATTGATAATTACTGGTGAATGGCATGTGAAAGTTGAAAACAAAGAAGAAGGATCGGTAGTTGGAAAATATGGCCTTGTTGGCAGAAATGATGCCAGAGGTCGCATGATAGAATTTTGCAACACCAACGACTTCTTCATTGCAAATACCTTTTCTCAATAACATAAACGATGACTATACACGTGGACTTTGCCAGACGGAATACACGGGAATTAAATCAACTACTTCTGTGGAAAGAGATGATGGAAAAACACAATATCATCAATCAGAATAAGGCCAGGGGCCGACTGCAGAACAGAGCATCAGTCACTCATATGCAAGTTCAAGCTGAAGCTGAAGAATACTAGAATAAGTTTACGAGAGCCAAAGTACAACCTTGAGTATATCCCACCTCAATTTACAGACCATCTCAAAAACAGATTTGACGCTTTGAACACTAATGACTGAAGACCAGACAAGTTGTGGAATGATACCAAGCACATCATACATGAAGAAGAGGTCATTAAAAAGACAGAAAAGAACGAAAAGACCAAAATGGATGTCAGCAGAGACTCTGAAACTTGCTCTTGAATGATGAGTAGCTAAAGCAAAAGGAAGAAATGATGAAGTAAAAGAGCTGAATAGACGATTTCAAAGGGTGGCTCAAGAAGACAAAGTAAAGTATTATAATGACACACGCAAAGACCCGGAGATAGAAAACCAACAGGGAAGAACACGCTTGGCATTTCTCAAGCTGAAAGAACTGAAGAGAAAATTCAATCCTCGAGTTGCACTATTAAAGGATTCCCCAGGGAAAATATTAAACAACTCAGGAAGCATCAAAAGAAGATGGAAGGAATACACAGAGTCACTATACCTAAAAGAACTGGTCGGTGTTCAACCACTTCAGGAGGCAGCATATGATCAATAACTGATGTAATCAAGGAAGAAGTCCAAACTGCACTGAAGGCATTGGCGAAAAACAAGGCTCCAGGAATTGATGGAATACCAATTAAGATGTTTCAGCAAACAGATGCAGCACTGGAAATGCTTACTTGTCTATGCCAAGAAATTTGGAAATTACCTACCTGGCCAACAGACTGGAAAAGATCCATATTTATGCCTATTCCCAAGAAAGGTGATCCAATTGAATGAGGAAATTATTGAACAATATCATTAATATCACACACAAGTAAAATTTTGCTGAAGATCATTCAAAAGCGGCTGCACCAGTATATCAACAGGGAACTGCCAGAAATTCAAACCAGATTCAGAAGATGATGTAGAACCATTGCTGATGTCAGATGGATCCTGGCTAAAAGCAGAGAATACCAGAAAGATTTTTACCTGCGTTTTATTGACTATGTAAAGGCATTTGACTATGTGGATCATAACAAATTATGGATAACATTGTGAGGAATGGGAATTCTAGAACACTTAATTGTGCTCATGAGGAACCTGTATGTAGATTAAGAGGCAGTCATCCGAACAGAATAAGGGGGTACTGTGTGGTTTAAAGTCAAGAAAGGTGTGCATCAGGGTTGTATCCTTTCACCATACTTATTCAATCTGTATGCTCAGCAAATAATCCTAGAAGCTAGACTATATGAAGAAGAACGGGGCATCAGGATTGGAGGAAGACTCATTAACAACCTAAGATATGCAGATGACACAACCTTGCTTGCTGAAAGTGAAGCAGACTTGAAGCACTTACTGATGAAGATCAAAGACCACAGACTTCAATATGGATTACACCTCAACAAAAATCCTCACAACTGGACCAATAAGCAACATCATGATAAACAGAGAAAAGACTGAAAGTTGTCAAGGATTTTATTTTACTTGAATCCACAATCAACACCCATGAAAGCAGCAGTCAAGAAATCAAAAGACACATTGAATTGGGCAAATCTGCTGCAAAAGACCTCTTTAAAGTGTTGAAAAGCAAAGACATCACCTTGAAGACTAAGGTGTGCCTGACCCAAGCCATGGTGTTTTCAATAGCCTCTTATGCATGCAAAAGCTGGACGATGAATCAGGAAGACCAAAGAAGAATTGATGCCTTTGATTTCTGGTGTTTGAGAAGAATTCTGAATATACCATGGACTGCCAAAAGAATGAACAAATCTGTCTTGGAAGAGGTACAGCCAGAATGCTCCTTAGAAGCAAGGATGGTGAGATTATGTCCCACATACTTTGGACATGCTATCAGGAGGGATCAGTCCCTGAAGAAGGACATCATGCTTGTTAAAGTGGAGGGTCAGCGAAAAAGAGGAAGACCCTTAATGAGATGGACTGACACAGTGGCTGCAACAATGGGCTCAAGCATAACAATGATTGCGAGGATGGCACAGAACTGGGCAGTGTTTTGTTCTGTTGTACACAGGGTCGCTAAGAGTCGGAACTGACTCAACGGAACCTAACAACAACTAAACCCAAACATCAGGGCTTTACTTAAAAACCATCAGTATGAGAACAAAAGATTAACAAATACTCAAAAGCAAAGGTGAGAATATAAGCAGGCAGGGAAACTAGAGTACTGGAAAAGGAATAAACAGAACACAATTAAAGAGAAGGTTGACACATTGTGATAAATGTAATGTCACTAAACAATCTGTGCAGAAATTGTCAAATGGGAACCTAACTTGCTATGTAAACTTTCACCAAAAACTCACTACAATATTATTAAAAAAACAAAACAAAACAAAAAAAAAAAACCATGAGTCCTTGGAAAAGGCCAGTAAGTAGAGTTTTTTCCACCAAGAGCCACGAGGTTCTAACATGGGTACTGATTCTGACCTTTCATTTCAGCACAGATGCCAATGCCATATTCTTTATCACCAACAGTGTCAACTGTTGTAGGGTTAGGAGGCACTGTTCCTTACTTCTGTAAAAAGTCTCACCCACTGAGAGACCTGGGAACCAATCCTCACCCTTATCCCCACATCCATTTAATCACCATGTCCTGTCCATGCTACCTCCTAAATGCTTCTGATCCTCCCACCTCACTCACACTGACCCCTCCCTTTGGCCTGGACTACTGGCCTCCTAACTGGTCATACAGTCTTTGAGTCTTCCAATCTGTCCTGCGCACGTCAACTGGTCTGTCTTCCCAGCCTCTCACTCCCCTGATCCCAACCATACCTGGCTTTTTCACTTCCTGCAATGCTTTTTTATACCTCATGAGCCTTGAAAGCTATTCAAACTATTCCCTCTGCTTGTGATATTCTTTCCAACCATCCTCCTGCTCCCACTGCCCTTTTTGGATCTTTCTGTTCTTAATTTGAGGTAGGGTACCCTGGTACGGGTTCCCATAGCAATACACAGGTTTACTTTTGTAATCAATTGTTCAGTGGTACTCTTCTCTATCAGTCTGTAAATGCTCTGGGATCAGAGATGCTGTTTATCCATGTATGTTCTCATCTGTAAAACAGGCATAAAACAAGAGGCAGGCTCATAGAATAAGGATGAAATGAATCAGTTCAAGTAGAGCACTTACAATAGCAACTGGCATAAGCTCTGGCAATAATAACAACAATAATTATAATAATTAGCACAGTGCCTAGAAAAAGGTATGTGCTCAAAAAATATACATTAAATGAATTAAGGAATGAATAAGGATGGATGAACTAATGAATTCATCAATCGAGAGGGCCTCTTTTTTTCCCAATCAGCTGTTATCCTTAAAAGAGTATAGTAGAGCTGTATCGAAAACAGTCACAAGGAGGAAACATTGCTTTTCTCTGTCTAGTGCCACCATGATAAATGGTGAAAATAGCATTTTTGGTTTCTTGAGATTCTGAATTAATTCTACAGTGTTAAGAAATATTCAAGCAAAGAGATTTGGAATTAAGAGATAAAGGAATATAATATCACAAAATATATTTCTAGTCTTCTCAATCTTGTCTATACTAAATTTTTGAAAAAGTCCTTCTAAATGAGCACATACTCCTTAATTATTCCAAAACTAAATCCTTTAGAAAATTGTGCATGTCAGGTAGTCTATCCAACAAACATTTATAAAAATAATTTCAAAGTATATTGCCAAAAAGGGAAGCTCTTCACCCCTCAGTTCTAGTACTTTCCATCCTTCAGATTCATCAATGTCTTCACGAGAAAGGTATCAGTCAGGTGGCCGTACATAGGTCTCTGCTGGTCTAACAGAAAGAAACGTGCACAAACATACCTGGGCTTCTAGTGCCGTTCTGTATTAGTGGTTCTGACACGTTTACTAAGTCGGAAATGGGAAAGTGCCTCTGCATTGGTCCAACCCTGTCAAATTATATTATCTGATATAATTTTGTTAATTCATTGTCCTGTAAGCAGACTGTGATAATATTTTATAAACGGTTTTGCTGCAGATGGCTTATTTGGATTTAGAAATAAACACTGCATTATCACATCAGGAACCCACCATCTGTCCTTATTCTTTCCCTTACACAGCAGAGTAAAATTTTTGTTTTTCTCTAGAGTTAATTTTTGTACTGTTGCCCTGGACCTATTTATTTCTGCCTCTGAACTTTGTGAAAATTCATAAATTGTTCTCAGGTTCGTAGATGTTCTCTTCAGTAATGTCATCAGTTTGGGAAACTGGTACGTAATTTAAGGAGGCCTGGCGGTGCAGCGGTTAAAGTGCTCAGCTGCTAACCGAAAGGTCAGTGGTTCAAACCTACCAGCCGCTCCAAGGGAGAAAGATGTGGCAGTCTGCTTCCATAAACATTACAGTCTCAGAAATCCTATGGGGCACTCTACTCTGTCCTATAAGGTCATTATGAGTCGGAATCCACTCGAAGGCAATGGTTTATTATTATTATTATTTTTTCGCATACTTAATTTAAAAGATGTGATAGTTATGAAAAATAATTCTTAACAAATATATTGCTAGAGCTTTTATCCTTGCACATTTAAAACTAAAAGATGCTACACTGAAATCCATTACTGACAAAACAGAATACTAGAAATTTAGTCAACTGACCTGTTTTTTTGTGGAACAAACTGGATCTGGGCTGGAAAGTGCTGGCGTCCTGGGCCTGTCTGGGAGCTGAGGACAGCAACGTCCTCTGACTTTCTTCTGGGTTCCCAGGTGGGAAGGGAGAGCTCTGTGAGCGTCTTAACTCACTTCCATCCATGCTAGATAAGTGAAGAGCATCCTGAGTTTTCTTCTTTTCCCTTTTTAGCATATTGACCAAAATATCTGAAATTTGACTTAAGGATTTAGTGACTCACACTAGATGATAATGATCAAAACACTAATATTCCAAAGGAGATTAACATTCCAAGTAAGACTTGCTATTTGGCATGTGGTAAAGACTGATTATAGGAAGACTTCAACTTCCTGAAGCCATATATACAGTTATGGACAATTTAGGAGGCTACTCGTCTTGCAATGTGGCACCTTTACATGAAAAATTAGCAAACCCAAAAGTCTTCGAAATGTTCTGAGTTTAAACCAGTTAAGTATTAAAAACTGTATGAAAAGTTTTATAAACAGTAAAATGAACACTGAGAAGTTCATGCAGGGCAATGGAGCTATGTATCTATCTGTGAGTAAAGAAATCTTTTAATCTGGAAGATCATGCCCTTGGCTAAGCATGTAGCTGTTCAGGAGCTGGTAGAGGGGTGGAGAGGGAGATTGGTAAAATGCACCCAGCTGGCAGATCAGCCAAATTAATCTTGGTGACCCATGTGCTGATGAATGTGCAGCCAGAACCTCCCCCGCCCCTAAGTCTAACACACACTGCTTATTTAAAGCAAACTCAAATGGAGCTGAAAGTCACTTTGTTTTGGGTCTCTATTATTGATCCCAAATGGAAATGAAAAGAAGTGAATTATTATACACACATGTATGTATATATATATACACACATATATGTGAGTGTGTGTGTATATGTATATGCATACATACATATGTGTACACATATATAGAGAAAGAGTCAGCCCCTGGTGGCGCAAATGGTTAAGTGCTCAACTACTAGCTGAAAGGTTGGCAGTTCAAACTACCCAGAGGTGCCTTGGAAGACAGGCCTGGTGATCTGCTTCCAAAAGGCCACAGCCTTGAAAACCCTGTGGAGCAGTTTTACTCTGCACACATGGGGTCGCCATGAGTCAGAACTGACTTGACAGCTACTAACAACAACATTCCAGACACATGGGATAGAGCAGAGAGAAAAGGTAGATGACTAGTTTCCTCAAGAAGCAGACATCCTACCAGAGAGTGATAAGTGTCAGAGAGCTAATTTTGAAAAGGTCCACAGTGACTGGGTGGTTATTCTACATTGGGTGCTCAAGAAAGGCCTTTCTAAGAGTGGCATTTCAACTGAGATCAGAATCAAAGAAGAAACCAGTCAGAGGAAGAGCCTCATGGCAGAGGAAATTGTTCATGTTAAAGCTCTAAGGAGAAATGGGTTTGGCAGTGGTCACAAAAAGGGACAGTCCCCTCACCTTTGGGAATATTTGGCAAATGTCTGACTTGGTTGCCACAAATGGAGGGATGTGGTGCTACTGGAATCTGGTGGGCAGAGGCCAGGGATGCTGTTAAACATCCCACAATGCACAGGACAGCACCACAAAAAAGAATTATCCAGCCTAAAATGTTAGCAGTGCTGAAGTTAAGAAACTCTGCGTTACAAGAACAACAAAAATGTCGCTGTGACTGGAGCTTCACATGCATAGGGAAGAGGGGTAAGACATTAAGTCAGAGGGGAATGCAGGGGCAATTCATGCAGGGCCTTGTAAACCAGAGCAAGGGGTTTGGGTTTTATTCTAAATATAACAGGAAGCCCCTGGAAGGCATGAATCAGAGAAACAACGTGCTCTAATTTACATTTCGTAAAGATCACAATACAAATATGTCTTCTCAGCTGCCTTCCTTCTTCCTACCTTTCCTTTGACTTCTCCCCCTTCCCTTTCCCACCAACTTAGGCCTTTGTGCCAAGCGCTGTGCTGGGTACTGGATGGCACCCTGTTACGTGTTTGGTATCAGGGTATCTGAGCTTTATTCAAACCGGTATCGGCAATGCCACCATTTTCACCCCCTTTCCAAGAAGAACAGTTAATGTTCACCATCATTTTGGTTGCATTACTGTCTTTTGTTGAACTCAAGTATTATCACTTTTTTGTTTTTCTGGAAGCTGTACCTTCTCATTCCTCCTGTCACCTTCTGGGTTCTATGAAGAGAGATATAAAAAGACCCTCCAACCTGACTCTGAATAACTCTGACATTTCAGGAGCCTTTCTTGGTCACTAGCTCTTAAAAAGGGGGAGCTTTGGGATGATTAAATCTTAGCTGATATTTTTCTTTATTCTGAGCTTACCCATTGTCTACATGATCACATCTTCCATTATACAACATTCTATAGTGCACAAAGCACTTTCCAATACATTGTCTTACTGGCTTTGCTCAGCACTATGAGGTTGGCAGGGCAGGCATTATGCTACAGCTCCTGAAGAGTAGGAAACAGCTTCACTGAGGTTAAGTAATTACAGAGCTAATGCAGGAAGAGCTAGGATTTCAATCCAGGTTTCTGAACTTTAAGTTCAGTACTCTTTCCACTGTGTCTCCCTATACACCATCATTCTGAATATGAGTCTCAGATGGAGGGAACAGTGTTTGAATTATTCACAGTCAGTAAAGAATCTAGAGTAGCCCCACATGAACAGTGGCACCTGGGACTGACCTCAGTGAAGAAGGGAGACAATGTATGTCTCTCTTTTAAAAATAAACATATGTGAATAAGCCTGGACTGTTCCCTCTCTGTCATATCTCATTTCATCCCTTCTATATGCACAGACATTCATAAGCCCAGAAGGGGATTAAGAAGTTGGTAGGAGTTTTTAGGAGAAGAGATCCTAGACTAGGATCAAACCCAGGAAAAGAAGCAGAGCTCAGACTGGGCTGGGGCCAGGACTGAGGTCCAGGATGGGATGGTCCCTGGAGATGGATAGGGTAAGAGAGAGGACAAGGAATGCAAGGGTGACAATGCTTGTAGGCAGCACTCATAGACAAGGGTTTGTGTGGGAGTGAAAGTCATAGCTGAACCTACTATTACTGGCCATGGATAATAAAGCAGCTACAACCCACTTGACAGACATACAGGGTCTGCTGATACTCAACTATAATTAGAGACTGAAGTTAATCAGGCAGCATGCCCACCTTGTATTTGGTTTGTTGTATCTCTTTATTACTGGATTTTCCTCATGTGGGTTATTTTTATGCATCTTGCACAATAGCTGAAGCTAAAATGCCTTTTAGTAATTTAAAAGAATGAACCAAAGAAATCTGTTTAAAAAGAAATGACCAAAATAATTTCTTGTGTGTGTTTAAAGTCTGCAAATGTACTGACAATGTTGAATCTTTTAAAAGAAGCTGAGAAGATAAAATAAGAAATACTGAAGAAATATCGGGGAGTCCTGAGGTCTAACTAACCCAATAGGGGCCCTTTAAAAGTAACTACCTCCACTGAAACAGCCGGAAGTGGGGGCTCCACATCCTGCTACCATTTTCAGCATTCAAAATATACTGCCTCCTAGAGCAAAAAAGAATTCTATCTTGAAGACTCATCTATACTCATTTCCAAATTTGGGAGCATTTCTAAGTGGAACCCAAAGCCGCAGGTCTGGCTTTTAAATAAAAAAAAGTTACATTTAAATAAATCTCTGCTCTTCACAAGCTAAATACCGTTTGTCATTTTTCAGCCTTCATTTGAGTTTCACCCACACATCAGCCACAAACTCTGGGCCATGGTGAGGCTTCGGTCAGCCCGGTGTCCGGTCAGCTAGCTAAAGATAACCACCCTTCTCGTAGAGAGCTGACTTACTGGCTTGGGACTAAAACAAGAAGAGCACTGCGGAGCAGTCAAGAAATTTATTTTGAAAAATTCCATGTTAAGGGATGGTGCAAAAAGCCCATACTTTTCAGTAAACTGAAATATTCCCAGGGATAGTAATTATAATTGGCTAAAAACAAAGTAAAACTTTTTTCTTTTCTAGCAACTCTGTTTTTCACTAGCCACTATATTTTGTTTGCTGAGGGGACTTCTAAATGGAAAGAAGCCACGTGAATTGGAGCAGGTGGGGAGTGGATGACCCTGGTGAGGGATGACCTCTAAGCGTGCCCACTCCCCTTTCAAGCCCATAGAGGGAGAATTTCTTGTCATTTTAGAAAGGATACTGATTTCATTATCTCTCTGCTTTAGAGTATCTTGTAGCTTTTTATATTCTTCCTCTTTTAATGGATCTTGGCAGTCATGGTCTCTGTCTTTGATTTCAGAGGAGACTGAACTCTTCCCAAGGATCTTCTTATCATTCAACAGTTTCTTTAAGATGAAATAAGTGTTTAGTGTCCATAACTCTATTCCAAAATTTCCTGCACACATCAGGCATGCCTGCCCTTTTCTTCCTCCTTGTCTTTGCAATGCAGGTGTTTTCCCCTGATATATCTCCCCCGTGCCCGCCCTCTTTCTCCTCTTTCCTCCTCCCCTCTCCCCTATCTCACTTCTCCATCCCTATCTGGGAAATTCCTACTCAAACACTATCTCCTGTTGGCTCCCTTCCCAGTTTCCTCACTCTTTTCTCCATGACACCATACCACTTAATCCACACTTTTATTACAGCACTTATCATGTATTGTAATTATTCTTTATATCTCTGTCTTCTCCATGATTTATTCAACTTCTCTTTCTTTATTCCTGGGCCACAGTAGACTCACAACAAATGTTTATTATCTTAGTGAAGCATGCAAAATACAAGTGTGGTATAAGTAAAGGTTGATTATCTTCTGAATGCATCGTCATAAGAGTTAAAACTGAAGGCAGAGAAAAACTGAGAAATCTTACGGATAAATCAAAACTGTTGGAAAAAGTGTAGGACACAGTTATCTTGCTATCATTTAAAAAATAAATGTTTTTTGAACATGGAACTATACTGTGTAGCAGGCACAGATTCCTAGGAAAAGACTAAGTCTATGGTCTGAGCTTATTTATTGGCAGATAAGATACCACCTCTGAGGAAACCCTCTGAGGAGACCCTGCTCCACATGTCCAGAATGGTGTGATGGTTGAACACCAACAACAAAAAATCAGTTTTTTGAACATGGCTTCTACTGGAGGAAATGTTTAAATTTACCTTTAAATGATGAAAACAGTGATGAATTTTACGCATATCAGCGCCAACCTCTAGTCTACTCTCTGGATCTTGGTCTTCCAAAAAGGATGTTATTAGTTTTTCCAGCCTAAAAATACATAATGTATGAGAAGCAAGTATGAGCTGGAAACCTTAGAAATTCTCATGGCATTAACTCATTGGTTAACATTTAATGTAAAGGATATCGTTCCCCTTTATGGAAATATAGCTATCTGGCTTGACTATAAAATTTAAGAAGAAAGAAACAGGTTGACAAAATGAAATCTGTAGATAATGATGCCATTATTTGACTAATTTCCAACGAATTCATATGCAGCTTTCAATGTAAGAATAATTTGATTTCTAAAATCCATGCATTCTAGCCAAATAGGATTTCTAGGCTTCTGTGGCTGACTGCCACATTGCTAGGGAAAGTAATGAAAAATTTTTTATTAGTTCCATTAAAAATTCATGCTACTCAGCCTCCGCCAGGACCTCAGTGATGTACCATAACCCCTTTAATCATTTCTGGTTGACTTATAGTCTTCACAGTGGCTATTCCAAATCTTTCCACAACCTCTAAGCCTACCACTTCTCCTTCGCTCTTGGTCAACCAAGTAGCTTCTCACTTGACTGAGATAGTCAAAGCTGTCACAAGCAGGCTCCTTCAGTTTCCTTTTTCTTCTCCTCAGAGTGTCTCTGCTTCACCACTCATGCCTTCCTTCTCAAGGCCAACCTCTCCTCATGGGCTCTTCCTGCTTCTTCCAGGGCCTACCTGATTAATTATCCCCTTTCTTTTTTGTCTTCAAGATCTCTTCCCTCTCTGCTTATAGTGATGTTTTTCCTATTCTAAAACAAAACAAAATACATCCTTTTGGAGGAACCACTCTCCTCTGAAGTCTTAGTTTGCAGCTTCCTGCATGCTTACAAGAAACCCTGGTGGTATAGTGGTTAAGTGCTATGGTTGCTAACCAAAAGGTCTGCAGTTCAAATCCACCAGGTGCTCTCTGGAAACTCTATGAGGCAGTTCTACTCTGTCCTATAGGGTCACTATGAATTGGAACTGACTTGATGACAGTGGGGTTTTTTTTTTTTTTGGTGTATGTGCTTACTATAGTCTATGCTGAATTTGTGTAAAAACCTTAGGGCCCCCCCCCCATTTGTTTGTAAGTATCATGAGGCTAATCTTGGCTCTTATTCATCTTGTGTTTCCCCTCCTCCACCCTGTATCTAGGGCAATGCACATATTAGGTTCTCAATTACAAATATGGTCATTAATTAATGGATTCATTTCCATGGAAATTGAGATGGAAGGATAAGGAAGGTGGAAAGATGGCAGTCAGTATCTAAGATGCTAGGTATCATGATATAGCAGCAGTGTATCTTTCTAGCATTATAATGAAAATATTTGTATACTTTCAGTATCTTTTTAAACTTTTCAAACACATTTCTCTTCCACTGTTACTATTAGCCCATCCAAACAAGAAATAATGGTTTTCATCATTATTTCATCACTATGTATCAGCCTTGGATTTTATTTTTACCTCCTCTTATATACTCTGACATATGACAGCTAATATTTGCAAGTGTAAGACAACTTCTATTGTAATTTTTAAAGAGTTTATTCAGGTGGAAGGATACCTGTCATTTGCATCCACAGAACAGAGCTTTAAATCATCAGATACACAGAGATTAATTTCTGAGACAAAGATTTTAAATATGTCTTTTATACGTATTATAAAAATGCATGCTTATTTAAAAATTCCAAACAATACAGATATGAATAAATTAAAAAATGAACCCTCCCCATCCCCCCACCACTACTCCTATTTTTTTATGCACTCTTGACATCTTGGGGAATCCAATGTTAACAGCTGAAATGTATACTTGTATTTCTTAACTAAGCAAATACCTAACCGTATTTGTCTATAGATGTTGGTTTTACAGAAATAAGGGTCTGAATAGTGTTCTGCATCATTATTTCCCTAAACAATTTATCACAGATAATCTTCCATGTCAGTACACCAAATAGTAGAGCTATTTGGTGGTGCAATGGTTAAGCGCTTGACTGCTAAACGAAAGGTTGGCAGTTTGAACCCACCCAGTGGCTCCACAGGAGAAAGACCTGGTGATCTGTTTCTGTAACAATTACAGCCTTGAAAATCCAATGGGGGCAGTTCTACTCTGTCGCATGGAGTTGCTATGAGTTGGAATCGACTCGACGGCACCTAACAACAACAACATTTCATCTTTTAATAGGTATATAATATTCCATATTATGGCTGTATCGTTCCTCTCATGATGGACATAAAGGTGACATATGCTTAATTGCCACTTTCGCCTGTAAGCAATGAGGAGGCCTGGGTCTACAATTCCCACTTAATGAAGTTAAAAAAAGAAAAAAGTAATGTTTATCTACTTGTATTTTCCATGAATACTTAGCGGAAATTCTGAAAATTTGAAAAGTGCTATGAGTTCTAAAGTATACCCATTCTCTGGAGTGAAAGTATTTTGTGGTTTCCACTGTCCATAAACTTTACAACAGACAATATTAGGTTTGAAGCAATGGTTAATTGAGTCTTCCTTCTTATTTTTTTTAGAAAATAATTTCTTCTGTATAGATAGGTGTCATCAAGTTGACTCTGATTCACGGTAATGTTATGTACAATAGGACAAAATGTTGTCCAGTCCTGGGTCATCCTTATGATTGTCTGCATGTTCGAGTCCATTGTTGAGGCTATTGTGCCAACCCATCTCACCAAGGGTCTCCCTTGCCCTCGCTGGCCTTTACTTCGCCAAACATGATGTCCTCCTCCAGTGATCTATCCCTTCTGATGATGTGTCCAAAGTAGGTAAGTCAGACAGTGTCCTGTTGTGATCTACAAGGTTTTCACTGGCTAATTTTTGGAACAAGTTTGCCTTTCTTCCTAGTCTGGTTTAGTCTGGAAGCTCTGCTCATACCTGTCCACGAGGGGTGACCCTGCTCATATTTGAAATACTGGTAGTGTCATAGATTCCAGCATCATAGCAACATGCAAGCCACCACTGCACAACAAACTGACAGACGGGTGGTGGTTCTTCTGCGTAGCTTGATCGTAATGTATATATTCTAGGTAATATTCTCTGAAGAAAGGCTAAAGTGGAATCCTAGTTCACAAGAAAGTATTGGGCTTTGGCTATTCCAGCAAGATTTCTGTCCTGCACAATAGTATAGGACTATTTGACTATATGAAGAAGAATGAGGCATCAGGATTAGAGGAAGACTCATTAACAACCTGAGATATGCAGATAACACAACCTTGTTTGCTGTAAGCGAAGAGGACTTGAAGCACTTACTTAAAGATCAAAGACGATGGCCTTCAGTATGGATTACACCTCAACATAAAGAAAACAAAAATCCTCACAACTGGACCAATAAGCAACATCATGCTAGACGGAGAAAAGATTGAAGTTGTCAAGGATTTAATTTTACTTGGGTCCACCATCAATGTCCATGGAAGCAGCAGTCTAGAAATCAGACCACATATTGCATTGGGCAAATCTGCTGCAACAGACCTCTTTAAAGTATTGAAAAGCAATGATGTTACTTTGAGGACTAAGGTGTGCCCCACCAAGACATGGTATTTTCAATCATCTCATACACATGAGAAAGCTGGAAAATGAATAAGTTAGACTGAAGAATTGATGCCTTTGAATCATGGTGTTGGCAAAGAATACTGAATATACCATGGACTGCCAGAAGAACAAACACATCTGTCTTGGAAGAAGTACAGCCAGAATTCTCCTTAGAAACAAGGATGGTGAGACTTCATCTCACATACTTTGGACATGTTATCAAGAGGGACCAGTCCCTGGAGAAGGACATTGTGTTTGGTAAAGAAGAGGGTCAGTGAAAAAGAGGAAGATCTTCAATGAGCTGGATTGACACAGTGGCTGCCACAATGGGCTCAAACATTGCAACGATTGTGAGGATGGCACAGGACTGGGCAGTGTTTCATTCTGTTATACACAGAGTCATTATCAGTTGGAACCAACTCGACGGCACCTAGCAACATTTGACTAAATGATGAAAACAGTGATGAAATTTATGCATATCAGCACCAACTTGTCATCTACTCTCTGAATCTTGGTCTTCCAAAAATGATACAAGAAGGGCCAGGGATGTGATCCGAAGAAATGGTTAAAAACTTTTGCCTAAGTGAAAGGACAGGATTGCTTTACCCTTCCTGGGATTTGATTACTTTAGTACATGATTAAGAATGAAGATCAGGCTTTTTGACACGCACTTCTGTTCTCAACTCTTGAGACCACAGAGCCTCATTAGATAAGAAAAAATGTCTGTTCTTTCCTTCATACATGTAATTTATTATTGAATTTACTTTCTTATCAAGTAAGGACTTGGCCTAATAATTAAAATGCAGAAAAATGCTTAATTCTGATGTTTCCAACATACTCCTCTACTAGTTTAGAGTGAACGACTGACCCCAGATTCCCTGCATTTTCGTATCTCCCAAAAGAGTTCCCAAGTTCATACCTAGTCACTGCTCCCACTGAGGGGTATCCTAGCTGCCAGAACCCTGCTGGACAGTGAAGAATCGTTTACCAGAAAAGGCTCCCCTAAGAGGTCAAACGAGTACAAAAAAGTCTGTTCTTTAGAAAAAGCCTAAGTAAATGGGAAACTTTATTTTTTCTCTATTTTCATTAGAGAAAAGAAGGAAAAGAATCCTAGGGGGGAAAATACAAATGTATACCATTCCGTTCTAGTCTATCTGGACAGGAAATATCATAGATAATCCAAGTGTGTCTAAATACATTACCTGGCTGATGCTGGGTGATTGTGAGATGGATAGTAACTATATCTCCACCAAATTGACAGCTAAGGAGTTACTCTGACAGCCTGTAGCCTAGTTGAGCAATTCTATCCTATTATAAATTTCGATAGCTGGCCACATAATAAGAATTGAGTGTATTTCCTAACATGTGCTTTACCCATTGAGACCACTCGACTCCCTGCTTTCTGTTCCCTATATTTCTTGCCAAAAAATGAAGTTATGTCTGTAGCCCTATTTTCATGGAACTTTAGGTTTAATAGTATGAATAAAAAGACAG